TGTTGTATCAATTGTTGTGTTTTTTTACCTGGTACCATTCCCATAGGTGGGTTCAGTTTGTGGAAACACATCAGGCTGTTATACTCTGTGCACTTTTCTGCAAGTGCATGTAAGACTTCACAAAGCTTTTTAAGGGGATGATAGTAATTGAAGCTTCTTCCCCTGGGTCATTGTGAGGACTGAATGGGCGGCTGAATGCACGCACCGTGCTTAACACAGCGTCTGGCACCCCTTTGTGCTAATACCTGGCAGTTGCTATTGTGACTAGTGTTAAGATCTAGCTCTGCCCCTTATTGGGTGGGCGGTCTTGGTGCCAAGTCACTTCACCTCATCAGAGCTCACTCTCCTCATCTGTACAATGGGTTAGTACCATCCACTTCACTAGGGCCACCAGGCTTTCAATGACACAAGATACAACATCATCAAACTTAAAGTTGGCTCCAAGGAGGCCCTCCCAAAGGCTTGGGTCAATAAAATAGGAAAGAAAAAAAAACCAGAATCATGACTGAGAGAGACAAAATGTCAATGTTGTAAAGGTCTGGATGGCTGCCAAGATCTGGCTTTGATCTCCTTAGCGTTTCCGTGAGCAGGGCTGGCCAGCCCCGGGAAGGAATGAAGAGGGAGTCAGCCGAGAGAGAGCTGGCTTCCAGGTGGCGCCGGGCTTGGTGGTGCCAGGGTACCTGGATCACGGTGCTCATTGTGGAGTAATCGGAGACCTCACCTCCCTCCACCCTCCAGCTCCCCGACACTGGTTACCCCTACTCTATTCCAGCTCCCCATCTTTGCCCAAACAATCCTCTCCACCCTCCTCTACCTCCCCTGAGCCTGTCTTGTCCTTGAGAACCCACCAAGGAAAACTTCTCTGCACTTCCTCCTCACTGGGCCACACTGTAGCCACACCCAAGTCCGCACTTTCATCCTGGGGCTATCATTCCCTCCCTGGGGTGGCTCCTAAAGCATCAGGAGATCTTGTCACCTGCCACTGACAACCCTCCAGCAGAAGCCACTTCACAGGAATGAAATCAAATCCTGCTCTGATCCCAAGGGCAGGTCAGAGAGCACATAAGGATCTTGCTGCTCAGTGTATGTCCAGTCCAGCTCTTACACAATCTTCAAAAGGTGGGGGAAGGGGGCAGGTCAAGGTTTTCAGGGGTTTGACGCTTATACCGTTGGGGAGATTTTTATTAAAGTATAACAAGCATAAAGAAAAGGCACCCATCGTAAGTGTATCCTCTATAAGTTCTCCTAAACGGAACCTGCCCGAGTAAACCAGCACCCAACTCAAGAATCAGACCATTACCAGCCCCCCAAATGCTCCCCTACTTCCCCTTCCAGTTGCTGCCCAACCCCTAGAGGTGACCACTGCCTGACTTCTAATATCATAGATGAGTTTTGCCTGGCGTTGAACTTCACATGAATAAAGCCGATCGGTGTGTACCTGTGCATGGCATCTTTTGCTTAACGTGTTTGTGAGATTCAAGTAATTGTTGCACGTAGCTGTGGTTTGTCCTTTCTCCTTCTTATACTATTACTTTAAAGGGCTCTTCTGCAGTGTATGTATCCACCCTACCGGTGCTGGACTTTCAGGCTGTTTTCAACTTTGGGATATTATGGAAAAAAAAAAAGCTGCCATGAACATCCTTACAAGTGTCTTCTGAGGACACACGGACTCAGCACTTCTGTTGGGCGGACGTCCGAGAGAGGAACCGCTGCCTCACAGGGATTCCCCAACGTTCCCGCCACTTCAGAAGATGCCGCGGATCGTTTTCCAAGGTGGTCCCACAATTTTCACTCCTCTCCCCGCCGCATACAAACGTGCTCTTGCTCCATCCTCACGAAAACTTTGTATAGGGGTGCGGGACGGGCGGATGCTGTGTATTTTATCCATTCTGGTGAGTAGGCTGTGATAAAACACCATGGTTTTCATTGTCATTTGGGGGCACCATCTTGAAGAAAAAGAATATAAAATGATGACTATAAAATTGGGCACAAAAGTGAATGTTTATTAAGAAGGTGAAAAGACATCACAGCAGATTGCTGGAGATTGTCAAGCTTCAGACTCCTTTCTTCTGAGTCTTCCCGGAAATGCCTCCAAGGAAATGCTCCCTGATAGTAACCTGGTCCCCGTCCTGCCTGGAACACACATCAGCCGCCTTCCATCTTCCTGCTGGAGCAAGGCCCGTGCGAGGAGGCTCCCAGAGCTCCATGTCATCAGCCTCCCGGGACATGGCCTCTGCCTGGCCCTCACCACCTCTGCCCCCCGCCGCCCCACCTTTCCTGGTCTGACTCTTCCTTAGGGGATCAGCTTCCACATTAGCCTCTCAGAGAGGCCTTCTCTGACTTCCTTGTTGAAGAGGACCTGTAATTTCATGCATCCCCGTCATGGGACAGATGACAACAGAGCTGGAGGTTAGGAGCACACGCTGTGGGCCCAGCCTGCCTGGTTGGTGTGTCCTGGCTCCGCTATTTTCTCACTGTGTGACCTTGGATGTGTCATGTAACCTCGCTGGGCCTCAGTTTCTTTTTCTTTTTATTCCTCGCCTGAGGATATTTTTCTACTTATTATCAGATACAGTGGGAGGGAGGGAGAGAGAGAGACAGAGAGAAACATCGATAGGATAGAGTCACATCGACTGGTTGCCTCCCACACGACCCGACCAAGGCCGGGGACAAACCGCAACCGAGGTATGTGCCCTTGACCGGAATCGAACCCGCGACTCATTGGTCCGCAGGCCGACGCTCTTAACCGCTGAGCCAAACCGGCCAGGGCTGGGCCTCAGTTTCTTCACCCGTGGCGGGGAGAAGGCAATGCTAGCCCCTGACTCGCGGTCTGTTTCGGGGAGCAGGATCTCAGGTTCATTTCCTCTGTCTGTAAAATGGGCTTTTCTCCTTCCTTCGTCCTTGGCTAGTGGGCTCCCAGGGGTGGAGCAGGCTTAGGGGCTGGTCCAGCTTTGGCAGACCTGCCCTTTACGGGGTGGCAGTCAGGCCGGCGACCAGAGTTGGGGTCCTGAGTCCACTTGGTGGCCCCCGCAGCGGTGTGTGCCCTGATTCTGTCCTCGGGGTGCCCCCCAGTTCAGGGCAGGCACGCACACAGCTGTCTCTAACTCAGGCTGCTGTGCGCTGAGGGGGACCAGAGCGTGAAGCAGTTGGCTGCAGTCCAGGAAGGCGACACAGAGCAGCAGGGTTTTGAAGGCTGAGTAAGAGTTCCCGAGGTGGAGAGGATGGTAAGGGCGTTCTTAGCCGAGGAAGCGGCAATGCAAATCAGCCTCCCCCACCCCCGATTGCCTAGCCGTCTGTTTTCAGGGGGCTGGACTGAAAATAAAATTTTCCAGAGCCCCCTGCCAGCTGGTTTGTGACTAGGGTCTGGCAGTGGGGAGAAGGCAGGAGGACGAGAGATGCCAGCCTGCCCGTGCCTCCTGCCACGGGCGACTTCCGCAGGCTTTGCAGATCCCAGCCGCCGTCGCTTCCAGGGCGGCAGTGACAGCACCTCCAGCAGCGTGCGGTGCCAGCAGGCTCCTGGGCCCCTGACCCTCAGGGAGGCAGCTCCTTCCCGGTTCCTGGTAACGTACCTCCCTCTGCTCTTCTCATCTTTCAGATGCCTTTGGAATCAATTTCCCTCATGGACTCGCTCTCTGCCCGAAATAGCCAGCGGTGTCTGTTTTCCAGTAGGTTACTAATTGATAAAACGTTTGGGCAATCCAGGCCAGAACCAGGGTGTGTGTTCACAGGACAGGATGCAGCACCCAGGTAATGCAATATGTTTATTTTATTTATTTATTTTTATTTTTTATATTTTTATCCTCAGCCGAGGACGATTTTCCCATTTATTCAGATAGAGTGGGAGGGAGAGAGGGAGGAAGAGAGAGAGAGGAACATCGACGTGAGAGAGACACATTGAATGGTTGCCACCCACACAACCTCAACCCGGGGCCAGGGACAAACTGCAACTGAGGTATGTGCCCTTAGCAGGAACCGAACCCAGGACTCTCTGGTCTGTGGGCCGACACTCTAACCGCTGAGCAAAACCAGCCAGGGCTTATTTTATTTTTTCGGTGCATGTCAATATGAGTTCTCTGAGGCCTGGAGACTATCTTCTATCATCCAGTCAATCAACAAATACTATCAGTGCCACGTTGGTGGGAATGAGGTGAATGACCTCCCACTCCTGGAATCACAGTCAAGACATGGCACCAGTGGGGACAGCAGCCCCCGGCAGCCTTGAAATGCAGCGAGTCCGAAAAGAGAGGGCTGTCAGTGTGAAATATACACCACATTTCAAAGACCTAGTGTGAAAATAAGAAGTTAAAGAGCCCTGGCTGGGTAGCTCAGTTGGAACATCATCCTGTACACCGAAAGGTAGCGGGTTCAATTCCTGGTCAGGGTACATAGCTAGGTTGTGGGTTTGATCCCCAGTCAGAGTGGGTATGGGAGGAAACTGATTGATGTTTCTTTCTCACATCAATGTTTCTCTCTTTCTCTAAAAATCAATGGAAAAATAGCCTTGGGTGAGGATTTTTTAAAAAGAGAAAAACTTGGTCCTCGCCCTTGAGGACTTCAGATAGGATGGCGAGGGGGACAGATATACCAACATGAAACTAAAATTCACTGTTAAATGTTTGAGTTGGTCCATGTTTCAGGGCTCTGGGCACCTGAGAAGAAATCTGGGAAGACTTCACGGAAGAGGTGACTTTACTGTTAAGCACTATAGGATGAGTACGAGTTCACAAGATGGGTGAGGGAGAGAAAGGGCACTCTAGGTTCAGGGAACTACACATGCAAAAGCTAAGAAGTTGGCAAGTGCACGAGTGTTTGGAGAGATACAGGAAATTCACTGTGGCCCAAACACGTTTCGTTTGAGAAAGAGTCTGGAGAGGAAACCAGACTGTGCAGAGCCTTGAATGCCAGTCAAGTTTAGACCTGGTTGGTCCCAATGTGAATGAGCTCACTCACCCACCCTCCTCAAAAGCATGAAAAGGACCAGACCTTGTTTGAATGTGCAAAATAAACTTTTATTTCAGTGCTCGCTCCCTGTGGCTCAAAAGCCTATCTACTGCCTGACTGGAACCCAAGAGCATTTATAAAACCATACAGAAACAGCAATGTTTACAGAGAACAGATTTGCCAGCTCACTTTGTGATTCTTCCCTGTACAAAGCAGCAAGTTCTAAGTGCATCAGCGTGACTTTCCCCAAAGCCCTCTCTGGGCTTTTGGGAGCCCTGGAGGCTCTGACTCCAATCCAGATGGAAAATGCCCCCCCTTTCCCTCGTCCAGCCTTAGGGAGGCCTGGTCAGGGGGAGAGGCGAGTAAGCCAGAGATGACAGCTCATAAGCTCTCTGGGCTGTGTTCCAGGGCCTGCAAAGAGGGGATGGCTGAGGTGCTGGCCCTGTTGGCTGGTGAGCAGCACAGGCAGCTAAGGCTGTTGTGAAGTCTAGGCATGGCGGTGTGTAGGCTCGTGGGTAGGACAGGGGCCTCCGGGGCTCTTTTCCCTTGGAACTGGGGTCTGATGGAAGGTGCCTGGGCACAGGGGTGGGGCCTGGATAGGGCTGGGGGAAGAACAGTGGTCCTGGTCATGGTTTCACGCTTCGAAATACCCTGGGCATGTGGCCTGAGGCTCTGTGGAGCCAGCCAGTAGGACTTGCTGTTGTTCACAAGGCTGGGCCAGGCAGGGCATCAGGAGTGCAGAGCCGAGAGGGCTTTGGAGACCAGCTGGTTCAGCCACGCCACTGACCAGCGAGGACACCAAGGCTCAGAGACGAGGCAGTGGCTGGCCAGACCTGGGCTCTGCCCTCTTCCAATCCTTTCCCACTTCCTCGCCGCAGCTGGGTCCTTTTTGATCAGGTCCCAGATGGCCCCTGACATTCTCAGGCCAGGCTGGTGTCATGAACAGGGCTGGACTCGGAGTCGGAAGGCCTGTGCTCTGTTTCCATGCCTTTACCTTACCCGACCTTTTGAAGAGCCACAAGCCCACCTGTGCAGAGGGGGCCACCTCCCTTCTCTGAGACTCAGTCTCCGCACTGAGAAAGCAGCTCCCACACTGCACAGTTCTTGCGGCGATGACACGGGCTGGTGGCTCTGGGACTACCGGCAAGTACGGGAGGACCTGGCACACAGTAGGTGCTTCACAAAAGTGAGGAGCGTGGGGACTGGGGCCAGAGCTTCTGGGATGTGGGAGGAGCTCAAGCCTGGCCTATACCTGGGCCCCTCCCCATCCATCCCCACCCACGCTGGCTACCCCAAGGCCCCCGGGACCTGGGCATAGTCTGGGGAAGGGGCACGGGACACATCAGGGTGCTGAGTTCCTTGATCCGGCCAATGGGCACACTGTGTCTTTTTTGTTCCAAGGGACTATGGAATAGATCAAACAATATGGTGGGTGATGAGCTGCTTTCCAGATGGCATCTGGGCTGGAGGGGGAGGTGTGGGTCCCTTCTCCCCCATCACAAGCCCAGTCAACCGAGGTCAGGACTCCCACTGTGGAGGCACAGAGCATTGCTCACAGGTAAGGGGGTGGGAAACCAGGTGCAGGGACAAGATGGGTCTGGGGCCCAAGGAGGGTCAAGGTTTCCTCACTAGCTTGGGATAAAGACGGGGGTCCAGCTGGGGGCTCTCAGCTGCTGACGTGGAGATGGGCACGGCGCCCCTTAGGGAGGGCCGATGATGACGTTCCGGTAGCCCTTCACGGCCTTTAGCTTATTGCTCTCAAAGTTGACCACCAGCTTGTGGCGGCCCACGAGGACAGGCAGCAGGTTCACTCTGACCTTGACTTCCTCCCCCGACTCCACGGGGTCTGGGCTGTGGAGAAAGGCGAGGAGGTTGAGGAGACGCCCAGCCCTGGTCCCCATGCAGGCCACCATGGCACGTGACCACTGAGACCTTAGCACAAAGCCTCTGTATCCATGGACGAACAGCTTACTGCTGACAGTAATGACAGTAATACGTGGACCCACTCACTGCTCTCCGAGGCCTGGGTGATCCGCCCAGCTATGCGTAGAGGGGCGTGTGTGTGTGCGCGTGCACTCACGCACACGTGGACATGGACAGTGTGCTTGGGGTAAGGGTGGGTGTGCTCAGGTGACCACATGCATGAAAATGCATTGAGCTGTACATGCATGATTTGTGTTCTTTACTGTATGTAAGTTTCATTACAATAATAAAGCAAAAAAGAAGTGTATATGCTCGTATGTGTGTATGTACATAGACGTGTATCTGGGGATGCCTGTGTGTTGAGGGCCGGTGCTTAGTGACAAAATGTGTCATTGTTCCACATGCGTGGAACACAGCCAGCGGGGTGTGGGTGTTGAGGGGATGAGAGGGTAGGAACTCTGCCCTGAGGGTATTTAGGAGGGGACAAGGGTGTATCCGGCAGACGTGGGGGTGGGTGTGTGGGAGATGAGAGGAGGGTTATCGCCGGAGTGTGGTGCCCCCCATCAGCAGCTGCCCTTGGCTCTCAGGTCCCCAGCTGGAGTGCCCAACACTTACAGCTCCTCGGTCTTCTGTCCCTCGATCAGACCAGCACCCTCCACAGTGAAGCTGCAGCCTTCCAGGGGGACGGTCAGTGGGTTCTGCAGCGACACCTCAGCCACCAGCTTGCGGTTCTGCTTGGGTTCTCCCAGGATCTGCGACAGGGCACAGGGCAGACGTAAGGGGCAGCATCGAGGGAGGGGGCTGGGCCATCAAGGACAGGCAGGGTCCAGGCTGGGCCATCTCTGCATTTGCTGCAGTTTGGCCCAGTGTTTGTGAACACAGCCACGCCCACTCTGTGCCTCAGTTTCCTCATCTGGAAAACAGGTGATGATACCAGCCCAGGCCTCCTTCATGGAGCTGCAGGGAGGCTCCATGCGACCCAGAGGGGGTGTAGGGCCTCCCTTGTTCTAGGGTCCGGAGTGGGAAGATCACAGGCTTTGGAGCCAGCTGACCTCTGCCCCTTCCTCACTGCGTTACCCTCCAAAAGCCACCGCCCTCTCTGAGCCTTGGTTTCTTCACGGGAGAGAAATGCCTGGCCACAGAGCTCTCATGAGGGTTACCCAGCTAACAAGGGGCAAGCTCTGATGGGGTACCTGTGCCCAGTGCTCACTCCCACACCCTCTCGCATTCACTTGTAATTGCATTCGGGGTTCTGGGCTGTGGTTCCCCGAAGTGAATCACTATGATGACGACGATGGTGGTGACAACAGTCAGCTCTTATTGAGCCCTCATAAAGCGCTGGATATGGTCCATGTAACCCCTACAACACCCGCATTACAGACGGAGATGGATGAACCGAGGCACAGAGGAGCAAAGTGACATGCAGGGCCCCCCAGCCACAAAGCCGCAGTCAGACTTCAGAGTCTATGCCCTTGATTCTTCAACCCTCCCTGCTCGACCAGGGCCCCAGGCTCTGGGATCTAGCTTTAGTAGTTTAGCTTTAAGGGTCCATGACTCTGAGATCCCTAAATTCCATGACCGCAGCACACTGAGATTCTAGGATTCATTCCTAGAAGCTATGCGAGTCCCCAGTTCTTTCGGCTTCACGATGCTTTTCTTTGATGAAGCCAGAATTGGAAGATCCCTGAGGGGTCAAAGAGCTTAAGGGTTCAGGGGTGCAGATGCATTAGGCCTGCCCATTCCCAGCGCTGGGCCTGCCCTGGGACCCTGCCCTGCTCCCACCCCTGCGCAGCCAGCCCCTTACCCGGATCTTGATTTCGGGATTCTCCAGATAGATGTCCCTCTCGGCCAGCAGGTAGCTGTTGGCAGCTGGCTCGATGAGGAGGCCTCGCACCTTGATGAGGTTTGACTCCGTCAGGTAGTCACAGTACTTCTCGTAGAGGATAGGAAGGGGAATGCTCTGCTCTGCAGGGGTGCGGGGGGACACATTTAGTGAGGAGACCTCGCCCCCGCCTCTCCTTCCGCGTTTCACAGGCACAGAGAGGACAAGGGATGTGCTTGAGCTCACACAGCAGGTGGATGGCTGGGCAGATCCCAGGCCTTCCCCCACCTGCCCTGGCTCCAGGGTGCCCAGGGAGGAGTTGGGCAGGGAAGCAAAACAGCTGGTAGGGGACGCGCTGGAGCTCCAACAGGCCTGGGTTCTAATCCTGCCTCTGCCCTTTGCTCATGTGACGCTGAGAGAGTCACTCCACCTCTTCGGACCTCGTGAGGTTGGTTAGATTGTACCCATTTTCCAGATGAAGAAACACTTCTGCCAGCACGTGCTCAGATCAGGTGACCTGGCCCTGCTTGGCCATGGACTGGCTGTGTGAGCCTGGGAAGATGACCTCCCCTCTCTGTTTTTCCTGTTCTCTCTCGTTTCCCCAGACAACCGGCACCCTTAACTCTGGCAGAGCTAAGACCAGAGGTCATTTCAGAGCAAAAGCCACACAGTAATGGGAGTGTAAGAAAGAAGTCCGCAGGATCAACCTCTCCCACTGCAGAGAAACAAAGTGCGACTTTTAGCCCATTTTTCTGACCAGAACACTGAAGCCTGTAGGAGGCAAGAAAGAGCAGAGAGAAGAGCACAGGACTGAGAATCTGCAGCCCTGAGCCTGGCCCTGCTTGTTCCCTTGGTCACAGGCAACCTTGGACAGATCTGTTTCTCGGGCCTCTCCTGTCACCCAGGATCGCTAGAGGGACAGTCCCTGGGCTCCCTGGAGCCCAGCCAACCTCTCTCATCATCGTCCGAGTGCCATGACAGGAGACGCTGTTGCCTCTTTTCTGCCATCTGTCCGCCCCTCCCCCCACGAGACCAGCGTTCCCCAAACTCCAGCCATTCACATGACTTTTTTCACATATCCTAGTGTGTCCTAATTATTTCCTCGTTACTTTTTTTCAGTCGCTCACTTTATATTTTCTAGCCTTTTCTAACCAGGGACATTTTTTCGTCATTATTTGCCACAAACCAGTCTCATTTACCATAAATAGAAGGCAACTGGTAGAAAGAAAGACAAGCTAAGTCATGCTTATTCAATTCCGGTGAGACGGTTTTGTCTGCCGAGGTCTGTCAGTTGGAGACCCGAGCTTAGTGTTAAGAAGGAAATTAGCCCTGGCTGGTTTGGCTCAGCAGATAGAGTGTTGGCCTGTGGTCCAGAGAGACCTGGGTTCGGTTCCCGCTAAGGGCACACACCTCGGTTGCAGTTTGTCCCCGGCCCTGGTTGGGTCGTACGGGTGGCAACCACTCGATGTGTCCCTTCCACGTCGATGTTTCTCTCTCTCTCTTCCTCCCACTGAACAAAAAAATGGAAAAAAATGTCCTTGGGTGAGGATTAAAAAAAAAAAAAAAGGAGATTAGCCAGGGTTGGGATGCTAAGACCAATTAGCATCTGAAGGACTGTGAAGACCCAAGAGAGGGACTTTCTCACCGTGAGTCAAGGTCTGGACCTCGGCAGGCACGGACCCACACCCCGCCCTCTGGAAGCGGAAACGCTGCATGAGTGTGCCCAGCCCTCTGGCCATTCATTCTCGGGGTGGATCTGCCCCAACCTCTGATCAGATGACGTTAGGGGAAGAAAACCAAATCTGCCGCCAAAAGGGACAAAAAGGAATGAAAATTCCTGGTGGAGCAGAGTGGAAAGTCTGACCAGCTCTGCAGGAAAGAAAGGGAACATTGTCCTCCAGGAGCTTGGAGGACATGGACCCAAATGTTGACTTTTCCGGGAGGCTGACCCAGGGTGGGGCTGGATCTCTGAGAACTGCCTGCTGCCGGCCAGGGACCTCGGCCTCGGCCTTGGGCTAGATGCTGGCCGGGAGAAGGAAAGGTGTGTGGGAGTTTCAGTCACTCCTTGGGTGATTTGCCCTGTTCTGGAAGGTGCCATGGGCAGCGGGATCACCGAGGCCACATTGGCTGCTTTCCCAGTGACGCACCTGGAGGGGTGAGGGAGGAGGGAGAGAGAAAGGGAGGAGCGGAAGGGGAGAGGGAGAGAAGCAGCCGGGCAAGGAGGCAGGGCAGTGGGGGCGACTGGATTCTGTTCGGCTCTACCGGGCCTGGCTTCCTGTCCATTAGCACATGGAAATCCCCAGATCTTATCAGCAAAGAATAACATGCATGCAGCCAAAGTGAGGGGCCATCAAGGGTGAAAGAACCTATCTCAGGCTGAGCTTGGTATTGGACACCCCAATAGACACCTGGACTAGCTCTGCCTTGCAGCCCGAGGCCAGCACACAGGACCTCTGCCCTCCTCTGCCCTCCCCCTGCAGGCCGTGCCCTCTGGGGGCCGCTGATCCCTCGGTTGTGAACACATCCCAGGACGAGAAGAAACACGGACAGGCCTGGCTGAAGCCTCATGGAACAAGGCTCCATGGGCCCCATGGTTTCCGAGAGGCAACGTGGACTCAACAGAGGCCCAGGAGGAAATCATTCTGGCATCCCTGGTCCTGGCTGAAGGTCCCTTCTGGCCACACATTCTGGGAACACTTCCTCCCTTTGAAGAGGTTCTGAGCCCCGAAGGGAACGACGTGTATGCATTCTAACAAATGGGTGGGAAAGGCTCCTCAAAGATGAATCTGGGTTTGTGCAAACGAGGAACCTGAGGCCTGAGATGGAGAAGAGAAATACCCAGGAGCCTCAGCCCATCGGCAGAATTGCGGGAACTGGAACTTGGGCATCCTGACCTCCCCACACACCTGACACTTAGGGCCTGGATACTTAGGTCCACGCTGGGGCCCTTCCGTGCCATCAAGGTGAGCAGGGCCTCAGGCACCAGAGCCCAGCACTGAGCACAGCAGGTGACCAGGAAAGGCCCTTGGGCTTCTCTCCCGCCTCCCTGCCGGTCTGCATTTCTGCTCAGTGAGGAGTGAAGCTCCCCCGTACCCAGGCACCAGGTACACATCCCAGACTTGTTCTGAGCACACGCCTTCTCCTTCAGTCCTCACGGGGCCCTTAGGTGGGCATTCTGTTGCCCATTTAATGGATGAGTATGATTTGAGGCTCAGGGAGCATGGCCACCCTGCCCAAGGATGTACACTTAGAAGGTGGTAGCAGACACATTCAAAGCTAGTCTGACTGGCCTCAAAATACATCTTTCAACCTAGTAAGTGTTGGGGCCCCAGTCCCAGTGCCCAATGACTCTGTCCCTGAGAGCTTGGCTCCTGCTCAGGGACCCTGACCGAGCATCGCCCTGCGCTTGCGGCTCCAGGGGTGCCCATGTGGTTCCCAAGACAAAACCAGGAGGTGGCACTTTCAATCCCATAGGCCCCTGGCCCAAAACACAGACAGGCCTCCTTAGGAACCAGATGGCTGTGCCCCAAATGCCAGCCCATGGGGCCCAGGGCCAAGGCAGAGGTAATGAAGGAAAGGGAACATTCAGGCTGACAGGCAAGAGCAGAGGGGCGGGCACTAGTATTAGCACACTAGTTCCCAGGTATTAGGTGCCTACTGTGTGTCCAGCCTCTCCCCCCTGGACAGTCCCACACTGTTGGGTCATGACTCCCATGTGTCTGATGGGGACAATGAGTCACAAGCGAGGCGGCCGTTTGCCCAGGTGACACTGCGGGCAGGACCCTCAGAGGATGGCCAGTGGCTCACTGCACTGCTCCCGGGTCCTGTCCCAGCTCCACGACCCTCTGCCCCCTCTGCCTCGGGCTCCCCGTGCGCACACGGGATGGGGCTGCTGGGCAGCGGGAGGCGGGCACGGGTACCAAGTGACCTCGGCCGCAGCCCTCTCAGGGTCTGGACTTATTTTAAGGAAGATAACCAGGCATGGTGACAGAGCTGGGCACCGAAAGGAGATGACCATGCCAGCAGAGGCTCTGCCCAGGGCTGAGGGCTGGGTCATCTACTGACATTATTTCACCCCAACACGGGAGCCCCAGAGCCAAGGAGCAGAGGGAGAGCGGTGTGCCGCACAGGGAGGCCAGGCCAGGCACTAGGAGGATAACCCTCTCTCCGCAGGGGACTGGACAGTCTCCCGTCACTATTATAGCGACACCGTGCAATACGGCAGCTGCTGGCCACGTGCGGCTGTTTAAACTAAGTAGAACTGAAACTTTAGTTCCGAGGTTGCACCAGCCACATTTCAGTGCTCAACGCCACACGGAACCAGTCACCAGCGCTCCGTGCGGCACTGATGCAACTGCACCATCGCAGCGAGTTCTGTGGGTAGCACCCATCCGGAACCTCTCCCCGGACCTCCAGAGCAGAAGCTCCCGCCGTAGGGGTGAGCGTTGCTGGAGACAGAGAAGGGAATTAGCTGGGAGGAAGCCGCAGAGAATCTGAGAAAGCAGTCAGGCGTCCCGAGAACAGATGGAACGAAACAGTACAGTTGCTTCGAGTACAGGTTGAAGTGTCAGTCCCAACACATCCTAACTGTGTGGCCTTGGGAAAGTTGCTTAACCTCTCTGTGCTCAGTCTTCTCACCTGGAAAATGGGGACAATAAAAGACTCTGCCTCCCACTTTTTAAAAATAAAAATTAAATAGTTTGGGCTCTGGCCAGTGTGGGTAAGTTGTTTGGGTGTCGTCCTGTGGACCAAAAAGTTGCCAGTTCAATTCCCGGTCAGGGCACATGCCCAGGTTGCCGGCTTAATCCCCAGTAGGGTGAGCAGGAGGAAGCTGATCGATGTTTCACTCTTACATCGATGTTTCTTTCTCCCTCTCCATTCCTCTCTCTCCAAAAATCAATAAAAAAAAAAAAAAAAAGAATGAAATAGGTTGATATTTATCAAGGGCTCAGGAGAAGGCAATGCAAGCGTCTGAGAGGTAAACAGCACACGCTAAGGGCTCCCTACCGAGCACATCAGCCGGAAGTCAATAACTACCCAGGAACACAGGGCCTTACCGGAAGAGGGCTCCAGGGTAAGATCTAGCACTTCCTTGATGCCACACATGGGCCCTAGGATCCCGTTGTAGCTGACAGTGCGGGCACAGAGCAGGAGGCGGCAGGCATGGTCCTCGTCGGTGTTGTTGGTGATGTGGGCAAAGACGTCAAAGTCGCTGCCCATTTTCATACTCCGAGCCACACGAATCCGCATGGCCACCCCTGTCTCCTCTTTATCAGCCAGCTTGTTCAGGTGGTTGGCCCTCTGGAAGGCTTCCCTCTCCTGTGGGGACCCTGTGGGGATAGGCAAGAGAGCGTCTTCATGGCTGGAATATATTCCAATGAGAAGGAGGCTGGAGCAGAGCAAGCTGGCCTCTCAGAGTCCTGGTGACCCAGAGCAGCTCCAAGGAGCTGCTTCTCCACATTTCTCTGCCAGGAAGAGGAAAGAATGTTTTCTTCCTTTTCCAAAGTGAACTCCTATGCATCCCTCAAGACCCATTCCCAAATGACCCTTCTCTAGGAAGCCTTTTTTTTTAATCCTTACCCGAGGACATTTTTCCATTTTTTTGTTCAGCTAGAGTGGGAGGGAGAAAGAGAGAGAGAGAAACATCGAGTGGTTGCCACCCGCACGACCCAACCAGGGCCGGGGACAAACTGTAACGGAGGTACGTGCCCTTAGTGGGAACTGAACCCCGGTCTCCCCAGACCGCAGGCCGACACTCTAACTGCCAGGGCTCAAATCCAATGTTAAAAAATAAGCCAAATCCTTTTCCCCCTACTCATTTAACATTAGTAGCAGATAGAAGCCTCATCTTTGTGTCTGATTGAATCCATCTCAGCTTTAAATTTCTCTTGGTCCATTTCTCTTTCATTTGACCTCCCCCTACCCCAGCCCCCAACGACCTTTATGCTCACTTCCCCAGCTGTATGAGAAATACTGCAAAAATAAACATGACTAAGTTCCAGGAACTTCTCCTCGATGGCCCCGCTGGATTTCCAAGCCTCTCTAGTACAAACACATTGCAATGAAAAAAGGTGGAATTACCCGTCTACAGTTGTAGGTCCCATTACAGGTAAGTGCTGTTAGCACACAGCACGGGCATCATTTATTCTGTTATGATGTACGCCTCTCCTACACAGCAGCCAGCGCCTTCCGTTTTATTGAGTCAATCCAACCAAAATAAAGTGTGTTTGGTATGTTTGCACCTGTTTCTAAGGAGTTTTTTGGAATGGCTATAGGCTGTGGTTGTGTGCAGACTGCCAAAACACACACACGCGCGCTCACACACACGCGCCCACTGGGCTGGAAAAACGGGCAGCTTATCTGCAGGGCAGTATTGAAGGCTCTGGGCACTTACCCTCCGGGTACTTATAGGTGTGGGTGATGTCCTCCCGCTCGTCACGGCCCACACTCTTAGTGCTGATCTTCAGCCCCACGACCAGGGACTGGTTGACGGACTTATGCATGGACCCATCCTCCTGCCGGATCCATTCCACCACGTCAGCATTAACCTCAGCAAAGACAAAAGGCGCGTCGTACTTGGGGTTCAGGTCGCCCTCCTTGATGGCACGGACTGGAACTGGGCCACAGCAGTATGTCCCTGGTTGGGGGAAAGATGTGCCTGGGATAAGGGTAGGATGGCACCCTCCCGAGCCTTCCACAATTCAACCACACGTGGCGAAAAGTCTCGAGACCATAAAGCCCTTTGACTCAGGGACTCCACTACTAGGAAAGCAGCATAGGGTAAGAATTAAGGATGGAGACTCTGGAGCCCAGCTTTTAGGGTTCAAATCACAGCTCTTAGTAGCTGTGTGACGTTGCAGTAGTTACTTAACTTCTCTGAGCCTCGGTTTCATGTGGGGATGATATTTATACCTACCTAATGAGGATGTGCATTCTAGATGCTATGTAAGTGAAAGTAACATAGAAGGATATCCAAAGCACCCTAAGGAACTGAAGCAGGGCATCTGTCTGGTTTAACACCCAGGCCACTCTTTATCTCAGTGTGGTTTACAACTGCCTCAAACGGTCACACATTTGAAAGTTGAGGACGAGAGGCTGAGTAACTACATCACAGTGCATCCATTTGATGGAGCACGGTAACGTGAAATTCACTTTCAAATCACAGAACACCACCTGATAGAGAATGTCAGTGGCATGTGGAGAGTGACGATGCTAGCATACAAGGCCACGCACAGCCAGAGTCCCCAAGGTGCAGCAAATAGAATTCAGGGGTCCATGTGACAGCACTTCCTTCGACTGTGAAAGCAGACGAACCACACTCTTAGGTGCGCTATGACTCATCACCCGTAAAACCACAGATGTTTTCATATCACTTTTTAGTTGTCACAGATGTCTGGAGATATTGTTCAGGCTCATCTCTGCCACCAAGTTATCAAGTTGATTAATTCTACCACTAGAGCTTGTTATAGAAAGTCTATATGATTATCTTACAAATTTATTTTAAAAATGTTTTGATAACTATATTTCACTGTAATTGTTCTACTTTGTATACCCTAGGCATTATATTCTATGAATTTAAAAATACTGTTTTTGCCTGGCCAGTGTGGCTCAGTGGTTGAGCATTGACCCATGCACTAAGAGGTCGCCGGTTCGATTCCCGGTCAGGGCAGGTGCCCAGGTTCTGGGCCCAATCCCCAGTGGGGGCATGCAGGAGGTGGCCAGTAGATGTTCTCTCTCATCAATGTTTCTATCTTTCTCTCCCTCTCCCTTTCTCTCTCTCTAATATCAATAAAGAAAACAAATTTTTTTTTAATTTACAAAGACTGTTTTGAGAAAGGAGTCATTTGGCTTTACCGACTTTGCCTTGGTTCTCTCTCCCTCATCTACACACATATACAAACAAGCATATACTTGGAAATCGTGGAAACTGTGTGAATGTTCTCAATGCTTCTTTTGAAGGGAGAGGACAAAGTTGCTATTTGATATCTTCTTTATGCTTCTCCTTATCTTCTGTTTCCCACAGTGGGCACGAATGACTTTTCAGATGATGAAGAAGCATGTTATAAAATGGCAGTAAGCCCCACACACTCCACGGACCAGTCATTGACCTCTGGAGTCAGCAGTCCGGGGTTAGAGCCCGGCCCTGGCTCTCCAGCTGAGGGCTCTGGTGAGTGCGCTCCAAGCCTCCGTTTCCTCATCTAGATGATGGGGACACACCCACCCACCTTCACTCTTCTCCTGGGGCGTGGGGTCGAGGGCCTGCCACCCCTCGTACCCCGGCTGCAGGTCCGGCCTGGTCATCCATGACTCCACCCAGCAGTGGAAGTTCCTGTTGGGAAACAAAGCAGAACATTGCCCAGGACTCAAACTCAGACTTTGTCACATCCTCTCACAGTCCAGACTTGCCTTGTCCTAAGCTGAGCCCCACGTGGCCCCCTGATGCCCCTCTTTGCTCTTCCTCCGAGGGCCCCAGCCAGGTGCTCACTCCGGCACTGAGACTCGTTCTCAATGCCTCTTCCCACCTCCCCTCCTTTCAGTGGCTCCTCAAGCTCAGCTAAGGGGACCTCCTGATTTCTCGGCTCCGTCTCTTCTTTTCTGACCTCTGGAAACAGACTGCCTTTGTTCAGCCTCATCACAGCCGCCTGGACCACACCCCAGGTCACACTGCCGATCTCTGCCTCTACACCTGCTCCAAAGTCATCAGCATGTCCATCTCCCAGGTTGAAGCCTTTGGTGAGGTGACAACCGCTGCCTTCGGAAGCCCAGACCCCTGTCCTGCATTCCAGAATCCCTGCCATTCATTCACTGTGCACTGACTTTGCTGTTGGCCTTTGCTCATGCTGTTCCCCCTGCCAGGAGAGCCCTCCCCAAACCCTGCTCCCCCTTGTCCAAAACACCGTTCAACTTTTAAACCCAATCCAAATGTGACTTCCTCTGAGAAGTCCTCCCAGGTTTCCTCTCTAGGAGACCACTGGGCCCTCCCTTCAACCCTGGGCCCCACCTCACCAGATCATCTCGCTCTTGTTGGACTCGAACTCCCCAAACTCGTTACGGAAGTACTCGATGAGGAGGTTGCTGTTCTGGTCATGGGCCGAGTTATAGTTGGTCACGACGCGGGTGGGGATGCCCAGGCACCGCAGCACTGGGAGGGAGGACATGATGGAGAGAAGGGTTAGGGATTGGGCTGAGGATCTGAAGACATCTGCCCTGCTCTGGGCCTCAACATGCCCATCTGTACCCCAGTGAACACTGCACCCACTGTTTGACTGACGAAGATGTGTGCCATCCTTTTACCCGGACAATGGCACCACCTCGCTGGTCACCCCATGTCCACTCTGTCCCCCTCATCACAGCTAACAGAAGAAGACTCTAAAATGCATATCTGGCGTCAATGTCCCTCTGCTAAACTTTCAATGGCCCTCGAGGCCAGACTTCCAGCTTCGCTCTCTCCGCCTCCCCAATCCACCCGCAGTGGGATTCATGCCACCCTCCTTCTGGCTCCTGCGTTGATGGGAATGTATACAACAAGGTGCAAACTGCCATCTCTGGAGCCGTTTCTCAATCCACTGAGATTTTGCTTCCCGGCAATTGTCATCAGTTTGGCTCAGATTCATAAAAATGTTTACAGGCCTGGATATTTCTTAACTTGACACCTTAGACACGGTCTGTATAGGAATAACTCACACATTTGCAACTTCACCCCTAAATTTCAGACCCAGCTTTCCGATCACCTCCTTCACTCTTCTGGTCTTCCCACCCCCAATCCGGTCCTCCCCATTCTGCTCCTCTCAATGGATGGCAACGCTACCGTTCATTCCATCTGTTCAAGCCCCAGACCTCGGAGTCAACCCTGACTCTCTCCCTCTACCCCCACCCCCAACTCAATGTCCTGATGGCTCTGCCTTTAAAATATCTCCAGAATCTGGCCTGGCCGGTGTGGCTCAGTGGTTGAGCGTCGACCCATGCACCAAGAGGTCGCCGGTTTGATTCCCAGTCAGGGCAATCGATGTTCTCCCTCATCGATGTTTCTCTCTCTCGCTCCCTCTCCCTTCCTCTCTCTAAAAATCAATAAAGTATTGTGCTGAGTGAAAGAAGCCAATCAGAGAAAGACAAGTACCACATGATCTCACTTATTTATGAAATATCATGAATAAAATAAGCTGACGATCAAAATAGATCCAGAGACTTGGAAGTAGGGAACAGACTGACAAACCTCAGAGGGATGGGGGCTGGGGGCGGTGGGAAGAAACAAACCAAAGAACTTCTATGCGTGTATGCACAACCAGTGGACACAGACAATGGTGTGGGGAAGGCAGGAGGGGGGTGGGATCAGGGAGGAGGGGGACAATGGGGGAAAAAGGGGGAACATTTGTAATACTTTCAACAACAACAACAAAAAAAGAAAGTAAATATTTAAAAAAAGAAGCGAAACAAAAAGCCCTGCTAAATGTAGTCTATAGGACTTGTTTCACTTTTAGTTTTCTGTGCTTTTCTAAAGTATTTTCCCCCCACATACATATATTTTGTAAGTATAGTTTATTGATTTTTAGAGAAAGAAGAAGGGAGAGTGAGAGGCAACGTCGATATGAGAGTACAACATCGATCGGCTGCCTCCTGCAGGCCCCCTGTTGAGCCCGAAACCTGGACATGTGCCCTGACTGGAATCGAACCAACAACCTCCTGGTGCATGGACGACACCCAACCAACTGAGCCACGAGGGCCAGGACTCACTTTTAGTTTTGATTGAAGTTAAGTCACTGAGTCAGGGGAGGGGCAGGGATGTGACCTTTGCCCGCCATCAACCAGGGCAAGAGCCTCCCAGAAGGCCCTGGACTCTGGCCAGATGTGTGAGTGTGGGGAGGAGGGGCAGGGACAGCTGTGAGTAGCTGCTTCTTGCCTGGTTCCTGTGCCCTGAGGTCTGGACCGAGGCCAGCCTTGCCACTGCCCGCACGGAAAGCGTGTCCCAAGCCCAGGCCGTGCCCTGCCATACCACCAGACTCCGGTGCCCTCTGCCAAGGCGCAAGGCATCACTCCTGTCCCCAGGGATGGTGTCCTGCGAAGTCTCACCATCACAGCCTAAGGCAGGAGGCTTCCCCAGGTTCAAGTACACCTGGTTCCAAGCCAGCTGTGCCACTCACCAGCTGTGTGACCTGGGACAAGCCACTTCACCTTGCTGAGCCTCATTTCCTTCTCTAAGAGGAGCTAATAATAGCAGCCTGTCAGGATGTTGTGATGATTCAGAGGCACTGGGTGTGGGCAGTCTCTCCTGCCAGTGCCCAGGGTGGGCCAGCAACGTGTCACAGTGCCCATCTCTGCAAACTTCTGTCTTGTCAGTGTTGGCCAAGTCACTGAAAAATGCCCCGGGATCCAGACGAGGAATCACAGCTTCCCCTGCAAACCCCAACCCCAACTGAACCGGAGCCAGGACTGTGCAAAGGGGCATCTCTCCAGGTCCTACAATCAGGCCAGTCACCACTGTCTCCATTCCACAGGTGAGCAAACTGAGGCCAGGAGACACCCATTCCCTTGCCCAACTCTACCCAGGGGTTGGAGGTGGAGCTGGGATCAAACCAGACAGTCTGACGGGCGCCCATGGACCAATCCACCATTTGGCTTCCTGAAGAAATGCTGGGACTCAGAGTCAGACGGCCTCGTCTGCCCAAGCTGTCCTGGTCCGTTCCATACCGTGCCTGGGAGGCTGCAGGGACCCTGGCTCAGCCCTGGCCTCGGGGAGAGGTCAGCGGCCAGATCTGCAGTGAGCCTGCAGGCGGCCTCAGCCCGGGGAACGCGCGTCTGCAGGGCCACTTGGGGGCTCGGCCATGTGGTGGGATTTCTCCTGGAAACCCGTGGGGTTCTCCACGCAGGCGTGCTTTAGGCCTCTGGAGGGGAGGGTCTAGGACAGGGAAGTTTCCATGCGAAAGAGGAATTCAGAGGTCACAGGGGCAGACGGTCATGGTGAGGGGTGATGTGGAGGAACAGCAGAGCCAGCCTAGCTGGGAACCGGGGTCAGGCTGTCCCCACCCAGCCTGCGAATGTGGAGGAAAGTGCTGGGGCTCTGGGACCCTTTTCTGGGCCTGAGCACTGGTCTTAGAGTCAGAAAAGCTGGAAACCCAACATCAGCCTCTTAGATTTCCTGAGCCCAATAATAATAATAACAACAACAATAGTGATAATAGGCAGCAGCACTATGTATGTATTTGCCATCAAACATCTGAAATCGTTTTAAACATTTCACGTATGTTAGCTCATTTAATCTTTACAACCACCCAGGATAAAGGCGCTGTTATTATGCCCACTTATATCATAGAACCGAGGCTCAGAGGAGTTAAGTGATTTACCCAAGGACACACAGCTGGCAAGAAGCCAAGCTGGGGCTGGAATCAGGTCCAGATTCCAGGTTCCCGGCCAGACTGTGATGCTGACTTACTCTCAGAAGCACCATCCTCAGCTCGGGAACAATCCTCAACCCCTCTCTGGGCCCCGATTTTCAAAGCTTTTAGTGATTTTTTTGTTCGTTTGTTAAGTTGCATTTGAGAAAGTACTTTCTCTTTCTCGACTATGATGATATCGTCATGATCGGCTTATTGACAGGTCCTGCCTAGGAAGGCCGACACTGGGCCCCGCTCTGTGCCCAGCAGCTTTGGGTCACACCCACCTGGGAGGTAGGTCCTGCTGTCCCCCCTTTACAAATGAGGAAACTGAGGTTCAGAAACAAGTCATTGACTCAAGATCACAGAGCAAGTGAGTGGAAAAGCGGGGACTTTTAATTCGGGTGTGCCTGGCTCCAAAGTCCATATTCTCAGCCCTGAGCCCATGCTGCCCTCCAAACAGAATCCCTTGTTGTGGGGAAAAGGAACAGAGAGGGCAGCCACTGGCTCCAGGCTACACAGTACATTGGTGGCAGAGGCAGGAAGAGACCTGAGGTCTCTCTCTTTTTTAAAAATATGTTTTTATTGATTTTTTTAGAGAGGAAGGGAGAGAGAGAAACATCAATGTGAGAGAGAAACATTGATCGACTGCCTCCTGCATGCCCCCTCCCCACCCCTACTGGGGATCGAGCCCGAAACCTAGGCATGTGCCCTGACTGGGAATCGAACCAGGACCTCTCAATCCGTGGGTCGAAGATCGATCTACTGAGCCACACCAGCTGGATGAGACTGGGGTCTCTTTGCTCCCACTCCAGGGCTCCCTGTGCCCCCGTCTGGGGTTCGCGGACGAGGGAAGGTGCCGGCCCCCCCTCCCCGTGCAGCTCACCTGTGCAGGCCACAGCAGCGAAGACCCAGCACTGGCCGTACTTGACCTTCTGTAAGCCGTTCTTCCAGCGCCGCAGGATGTCCACACTGCCGATCCAGAACATGGGGCTGATGCCATCCGCGTAGTTGCTGTCCCAGCGCCCCAGCAACACACCCTGGTCATCATTGCAGTTGACCTGCAAGCAGCAGTGCATCAGGGGAACCGAGCCCGAGGAGAGGGTGGTGGCCGTGCCAGCTGGAGCCCAAGTTCAGCACGTAGTGAAAGGCAGGGAAGGGAGTTTCAGGATGAGGGGACAGCAGGTGACAGACTGTGTGGTACATCGGAGATGGTGGGGGCTGAAGCCCATGGTGCAGAAAAGAGAAGAGGGAGGGAGAGGTGGAGAGGGGTCAAGGTCAGGAAGGCGATGCTGGATGTGAATTTGTCTGCGGGGTAGCATGGGAATGACGTGGTGGGATCTGAGTGGCACAGAAACCAGTTCTGGCCCCCTGCCCAGATTGTGTCACTCCCGCAACTCCCGTTCCCTGGAGAATACACTCCAGGCTTCTGGCCTGCGCCACAGGTCAGACAAAGCCCGAGAGGTCCGCAGAGCCTGCGTGGTCTGGCCCCTGCGCACCTCTGCAGCCCCGCTTGTGCCCAGCTCCCCCTTGCTGCTCTGCTCCACCACACTGGCCTCCCTTCTGCTCTTCAAACCTGCCGAAGTTAGTACCTCCTCAGGGCCTTTGCACAGGCTGTACCCTCGGCCTGGGATGCTCTTCTCCTGATTAGCATATCATCTCAGGGATCATCACTTAGGGAGACTCCCCCGCCCCTCACTGAGGTTCGGCCCTGCGGTCAGACACTCACACATCTGGTTCCTTCAGTGCCTGCATCATTATTTATGACTGTGCACTCGTTCACACGACATTTTGGTTAATGTCTGTCTCCGCCCACCCTCCCACTAGAACACAAACTCTGTGAAGTTAGAGACCACACATGTCGTATACCCAGCGGTTTCCCCAGTGCCTGGGACACAGTGGCACTCGATAAATATTTGCTCAGTGAATGAATTGCTTTGAGGAATCACATGGCATTACCCTCATTTGGGTAAATCTTGTCTTTCTAAATACAAGCTCTCTCAGCTGAGACTTATTCATACCCCCACTGTGCCCTGTCATGGGTCCCTGGGGTGGGCCATGCTGGTCCCTTACCATGGCGCTCACCACCCGGCATACATAGACGGGGCGGCTGCGGCGGGAACAGTCACGGCCGCCGTTCTTCAGGAACTTGGGGTTGGCGTCCAGGAGCATCAGGCAGATGTCCAGGATCTCGTCTTCAAACTGTGTCAAAGGAAACAAGAGGAGCAGGAGGTGAGAAGTCACCTCCTCCAGGAAGCCCGCCTTGAAGCCCAGCAGCAGTAGGACCTCTCTGCTCTGTCACACAGGCTACGGTGCCAATTTCTCCTGGTCCAGGAGGAGAATGGAGGTGGGACACAGACGGAGTGAGAATGGGAAAGGAGGTGCGCCTACCTCCAGGGCCAGGCTGGGGGTCCTGGGAATCTGGAGTAGGGACCACAGTGCCCAGTGTCCCTGGGCTTCTCTACCCTCAGACTCACCTCAGGCCCTGCCAGTGTCCCTTTGCCCTCTCTACTCTGCTAAATCCCGCACTTCCCCTAAAGCCTGACTCACCCTGCAGAGCGGATGAGTGTCCCCCCCTCCCCCCACGCCTCCCACACATACTGCTCTGCTGGAACTGATGTGTATGAGAAAGATACACATCTAATCTCATCAGCTCTCTGTTTCCACCGCTCTCAGATTAAAATCTAGACTTTTCCCTGTAGCCTGCAAGGCCCTTCAGGATCTGTGTTTGGGGTACCCCTCTTTGATCTCATCTCTCACCACTCTCACCCAACACTCACCCTGCCCTCAGGGCCTTCGTACTTGCTATTTCCTTTGCTTGGAATGCTCTTCCTGCCACTCTCTGCGGCTCACATGTTTTCATCCTTGCACACTCCAATGTTATCTTTATCAAAAGTAGATAACTTTTGGGCCACCCTCTGTCATGTTCAAAGGCTCTTCTGTCTGCCCCCTGCTCCCCATCTCTGTGGTCTTCTCCCAAACCAGACCTCATCACAGGTCTCCCTCCATGGCTGGAATCCTTCTGTGGCTCTGTATTGCCACCAGCCTGACATTAAGGCCAGTTTATAACCTGAACACTGCTGACTTCTCCCACTTCATCTTCTGGGGGTCCTTCATAAATATGACGCTCTCCAAGCCACACTATACTTCTTAGGCATAACCGTTCTCATCGCCAAGTTTTTGCTCATGCAGTTCCCTTTGCCTAGCAGACCGTGCGCCTCCTCCAAAGCCCAGCTCCAATGGTGCCTATTTCAGGACCTGCCCTGACCCCTGTGGGCAGTTATTCCCTTCCTTCACACCAGGAGCTTGAGGGGCCAGGGGTGAGATGGTTGTTGCTTCATGACTTTTCTCAGCAATGTCTCAAGCATTTTTATGGGAGTCTGGATGGTAGAGGAAAACAGCATTGGTTTGGAGAACCAGCCCAGGCTGACCGGCTGGAGAATGAGGAACCGCATGGAACAGGGAGGAGCCATCCAGTTGAGGTCAGACAAGTCTGGCCTAGACAGCCATACCCTGGTAGACCCAGAGATGTATGATAAATAATAACTGATTGTTGTTTTAAGCTTTGGGCTTCAAGGTTTGGGCTCTAAGGTTTGGGGCTTGTTTGTTATTCAGCAGTAGCTAGCTGATACATCCAGACCAGTAGTTCCCAAAGTATGGACATTAAAGTAGAAGTATCAGCATCACCTGGGAACCTGTTATACATGCAGATACTCAGCCCACACCCAGATCTCCTGAATCAGAAACTTTTCCAGTGATTCTGATGTATTCAAGTTTGATGTCCACTGATCCCAATAATGGTTTAAAGACCCTGCTCAGCCCATGCTTAGCACATAGTAAATATTCTCCAAGTCCTGCCCATTATTTTGGTATATGACCTTGAATGTTCCCCATCCTCCTCCGGCCCACAACTCCTAAAGGCTCACCTAATTCTTTCCCACCTTGAATATCTGGGGCTGCTGCTCCCATGGCAGGTAGGGCAACCCTTTGCTGTGTGACCTCAGGCCTGGCCTGGGCTCTCTCTGAGCCTCTAACTATTTCAGGGACTTTGAATCTTGACAGCATGGGGTGGGTGGCTCTGAGACCCGACCACACCTTTGCAACGGGGCCACATCAGACCCCAGCCCGGCCAGCACACAGTGGGTCTGAGATGGTGGGAGGGGCAGGGTGTGGCCCTACCTGCCCAAAGTTCCAGGGTATACTCCTGATGAACTTGGCCGAGCCCTGGTAGATGAAGCCCTGCTGGGCGAGGACGTACTCCTGCCGCTCCTCCTCCGAGTCCAGGTACACAGCATCCGCTGCGGGCGGGAGGAAGGGGACTCAGCGCCGGGTCTGGCGAGGGCCAGGACTCCCACAGACATAGCAGCTGGGGTGCCAACTCCCCAGGGCCAGGTCTGCGTCTCAGAGGCCTTCTATTTTTTAATCTGAAAAACTAATCATTAATGAATAATTCCACATCAATGATCTAAGGTGTTATCAGTTAGTGACAACAACGGCGGCTGTCTTCCATCCAACATTTGTCAAGAGCCCGGGTCTGTGATAAGTGTGTGGCGTGTATTAACTTGCGTGTTCCCCACAAGAGCCCTATGTGGAAAGGATCCACGGAAGACCCATTTTTACCGACGCGAAAACTGAGGCTCAAGAATATTTTACCAACAGGAAAACGGATGCCAGAACAAGAGACAGAGGAGCCCTGGACAGGAGCTGGGGGGACCCTGTCTCTGATCCTTACTTGTTGTGTGACCCTGGGCAGGTCACTTCACCTCTCTGTGTTCCCTGTGAGTAAATGTGATGGCAGATCTGAAAGGTGCTTTGTAAGCTAGAGCCCTGGGCCAGCATGAGGAAGGAGCACCGTTCGGGGTGGAGAGAGAGCCAGGAAAGGGTGACTCCAAGGAAGGGGAGTCCTGTCCAGCTGGGGGTCAGCCACATGGAGCAGGTGGCATCTGACCTCTTGATGACTGGAAAGCAGGGCACTTAGTTCCCTGTGACTGTTCGGGACAGAAAAGGGGCTGAGGGGGTGGGGCCGGAGGGCAAGAGGTTGAATATCGAACTGGCCTGTACCATCTCCACATCACAGGTGAAGAAACAGGCTGGGAAGGGAAAATCCAGGGCCACATTATGCCTTTGGTGGGCCGTGGGCATTTTTGCTTCCATAAAAAAAAATTTTAAATATATTTTATGACTGCATTGGTACAATGATGGATAGATTAATATTATGTATAAAAACATATTCTCTGGCCTAATGTTTTCTTTTGATTTTTACAAGCAAGTGACATATTTTCATGGGCCCCTGAAGGAATGGTGGCCCCAGGCCCTGGGCCTGCTGAGGTCAGTCTGAAAAAGCACAGCCGGTGCTGGCAAAGCTGGGCCTAGCACGCAGCGGCCCGGGCCCCTCGCGCCCCTGGGCTCCATCGGCCCATCTGCAGTGACCAGCACCCCACTCACCGCATGGAGGAAGCAGGTGTAAAAATATCTGAGTGTCTTACGTATCCTGCTCGTTGGCTCCGGAAACTGTGTAATAAAAATTAGTTTTATGATAAGTGAACTATGGGGTTATAAATCAGTCAGCAGCGAGGGAGAAAGAATGAAAGAGAAAGAAACACCCTCGGTGCCTTCCCATCAGAGTGAGTGTCAAGCACGCTGGGACATCCCCCGCTCAGGTTTCCAGCTCGGGTAAGGGTGAGGGCACTGGGGACAGAAGCCTCAGATGTAACTGGCGCTCGATCCTGTCCAGGTTGGAGCTCAGGGACAGGAGGGCCCATTTCACAGGCAGGTCCTGCCCTCTGGCCCAGAGGGGAACACTGTCCTTGTCCAGCGCCCACCCCCGCAGAGCCCAGCTTCCTGCTTCCCGGTCACCAGCTCCACTGCTTCCTCCAGGCTCCCACCCTGGGATGTGGGTCACTGCAGTCACTGTGCTGCTTGGCTGACCGCCCCGCAACCCGCCGGGCAGGGAGAGCCCAGCGCAAGAGCAAGGAGGGCCCTGGCCGGTTTGGCTCAGTGGTTAGAGCATCGGCCCGCAGACCGAAGAGTCCCGGGTTTGATTCCGGTTGCGGTTCGTCCCCGGCCCCCATTGGGGTCCTGCGGGAGGCGACCAATCGATGTGTCTCTCTCATCGATATTTCTATCTCTCGCCCTCTCCCTTCCTCTCTCTCTAAAATCAATAAAAGAAAAGAAAAAAAGAGGAAGGAGGCCATCCCCCAGAACCTTGCTCCCCGTTCGCTGGACTCTGAAATCCCACGGTGTGGGTGGGAGGAAGAGGACCCTGGCATGTTCCTGCTCCACGCTGGAGGCCGACTAGCTGTACGCTCTGCAGATTTTCAAAACCCAAAACAACACACATGCGCTTCGGTGGCACGCACCCCGAAACAAGCGTGCAGCGGGCTCCAGCAAGGCCGATTCTGAGAAACCATCCCAGGCGGCCATGTGAGCAGGGGTACTCATCCAGACACGCTCCCCGTGATGAGTCACTGACGGGGGCACCGGATGAATGAACAAGGCACACGAGCAAGATGCGGACACTCCGGTGCTTCAAAAGAATGAGCTGATGTGTGCAGATGAGTGTGGAGAGATCCTCCAGACATATCGCAGAGAATAACCACCAGTAGATGGATGTATATGTGGGATCGTTTAAGAGAGACAGAGGGACTCATTCATGCAGCACTGTCTCCAGGCTCATGAGCCCAAATCTAAGATGAGCCTCCAAAGTGGTGAATAATGGTGGTCCCCAGGGTGGGGAGTCAAAGGGCCGCTGTCTCTCTTTAGTGCTTAAAGCTTTTATAAAAAGGATGCTCTCCTGTCTTACTGTTATAATGAAAAATAAAAGCCAACGTATGTAAAAGAGAAAGTAAAAAATCTTTCTGCTCAAATATGTTATAAAATGCCCTCAAGATGGAGAAGAAGATAAAGTAGTGGCGCTGTAAGAAGCTGGTTATGTGATGCTGGAGAGGCCAGACTGTCTACCCTGGGCCCACGCTTGGAGGGGGGACACCCCGTTCCTAGGCTGAGGTCCACCCACAAGGCCTCTCCCTCTGCCTTGCTGTGTAGGAGCAGGAGGGCAACAGAGCTGACGGCCGTGTTAGTCAGAGGGGGAAACTGAGGCCCAAGAAGTGTGTGGCAGCCCTGCCTCCTCCCATCGGCTCAGGTCAGCCTCAGTCCTTCCCAGCTCTCCCCTGACTCTAGTTTTTCCAGCATGGTCCACTTACTTACTGAAGGAGCTGCCAAAAGACACTTCACTTCTCTGAGCCTCAGTTTCCTGTCTGTGACAGGAGGGCGCGGGCCTCCCTCCGCGGATGGTTGAGAGGAACCGTTGCGAGCGTGATGAGGAGACACTTAGATAATAAAACTGCTCGTGCCCACCTCTCCTGGCTAAGCCCCCCTCCACCTCCCTCAGTTCCCCTCCCCAAGCCTGTCTGCTGAGATTTAGAGCAGAGCCCCATGAAAAAGTGCCAGGCGGGGAGCCATGGCCCTGGGCCTCCACGGGGCACCTCGCTTTTGAGTGGAGCTTCTGAACCCGGGGCACCTCCACATCCAGCTCACAGCACCATGGGAACATAGGGACCAGGACGTGGGGTCAGATCGCTTGGTCACTGAGGCTTTGGGCGTCATTGCACTTATGCCTTCTCCTCTCTGTGAATGGGAGTGAGAGGGGACCTCGCTTCGCAGGGTTTGGGGGGCTGAGCACAGAGCTGCCCAGAGGGGCTCTCACTCAGTCCCCTGGTATCGCTTCTGCCCCATCCCCCACCCTTGGTAGCCGCTATGAGTGGTTGTCGCCCTGCCCATCTCCCACCCGCGGATGGAGTTCGCCTCACCTGGGCACCAGGTGTTGAAGAGCAGGGTGAAGTGGCCCAGCATGAAGCTGGAGCCCTGGTAGCCAGTGGAGGTCTCCAGGCTGAGGCGGTACAGGCCGATGGGGGCATGAGCCGGGGCGCTGAGCTGCAGCGAGAGTGTGTTGTTCTGCTGGTCTACCACCGAGGCCATCCACGCGTCCTCCTCCACGGCGTCCGACAGTGGGAAGCGGGCCTTGGTCCCGGCCTCCTCGCTGGGGGCTGGGCCTGAGGAAAGAGAAACAGAGACCATGGGCCAGGGGTGGGCGGGGAGCAGTCAGGGCTGGTAGGGGACAGGCACATGCCAGGCGTCCTTGGGCCTGGATTCAAGATCTAGTTCTGCCACTAACCACTGAGAGAACTTGGGCAAGACCGCATCTCCCTGAGCCTCGGTTTGCCCATCTGTGAAGTGGGGATCCAACCCCAACCTTGCAGGGTGGTTTTGTGGGAAAGCTGCAGGCACATAGCAGGTCCTCGCCCAGACAGGTGCCTCCTGGGAGAGAGGACAGCGCAGCGGGGTCACACTGCTGGTTTGCCCATCTGGGCCGAGCCAGGAACTCCGTAGATGCTCCCCAGGGCCCTCCTTTCTGCCTCGTTCCTTCACCTGCTAACACCCTCTTCCCTTTCAGAAAAAGAAACCCAGTTGAAAGGGATGGGACCTAGGCCCTCTGACGTCCCCACAGAGCCTGAGGGGCCCGCACAGCCTCGTGTTTGTCTCCCCAGCGCCCCTCCAGCTCTTGGCCTCTGGTCTCCTCTGAGGAGCGGTCACAGCGTTGCTCACCTCCCTGTAGCCTTTTGAACTCTACGAAATCCCTGGGGCCCCTGGGGTGGGAAACCGAGACTGAGAGAGAAGGGTCTCCCAGGGATATCCCAGGGGTCTGCGGCCAAGTCAGCACCTGAGCCCAGGCTCTAGGCTCTGGGCTGTCCCCACGGCACCTCCCACCCCCAGAGGCTGCTCCCTAGGGGGAGTGTCGAGGCTCAGGGAGGTAGAGAGCCTCAAATAACTGCTTTTTCAGGTGGAGGGGAGGGCCTGGCCCAGGCAGGCAGGTCTGAGTCATGGGGAGGGCGAGGGCGGGCTGGTCACCCTTTCTGGACTTGGATGGCGGAAAGGAGAAACAGAACCTTCTCTGCTCGACTGGGCAGCTGCCCAGGAAGGTTTATTTTTAATCGTCCACCTCCCTCCCTGCAGCTCTGCCCACCGCTGCTGACAGTACAGGGGCCTGCTCACTTAGGGGCTCCCTCCCAGCACCCAGCACCCTTCTCCCATCCACACCCAGGCCCAAATATAATCATGAACTAACAGGCATGACACAGGCCTCTGGGGTCCTGTCTGGGAGCCAGGAGCCAGCTGTGAGCCTTGAAATGCTCCCAGTCTTCCAGAGTCAGCATGTGAGGGAGGAGTCCGGCAGTACTGGGCCCCGAGAGCCCGTCTTGTTCTGGCTCCGCTACTTAGGCCCCGAGCGCTGTGTGACCTGAGCTAAGTCACCAGGCTTCTCTGATCTGCCATTTTCTCATCAAAGAAGAAAATAGGTTTAGACCCCATGCCTGGAAGGGTCTGATTCCAGGTGTGAATCTGGCTCTGTGACCTCAGACAGCTATTTAGCTTCTCTGTGCCTCAGTTTCCTCGCCTGTAAAATGGAGCCAATTGCAGTAACTTGTCACAAGGTCAGTGTGATGCTCAGAGAAGGTGAGGCATGTAAAGCATCTCACAAGGTGCCTGGCACATAGTAAGTGCTCAATAAGTAAAGGTTACTGTGTATTGTCACGGCCACTTCCTAACACTGTTTAGACAGTGCACAGACGACATTTAAAACAGACTAGGAAAGGTAATTCTACAGTCCATGTGAGCTATCCTCGTACCATAAGAAGGAACAGTTAAAAATCAGCATTCTCTTGTCCGGCCAGTGTGGCTCCGTGGTTGAGCATCGACCCGTGCACCAAGAGATCGCTGGTTCGATTCCCGGGTAGGACACATGCCCAGGTTGTGGGCCTGATCCCCCGTGCGGGGCATGCAGGAGGTCGCCAATCAATGTTATCTCTCATCAATGTTTCTATCTCTCTCTCCCTTCCTCTCTCTATAAAATCAAAAAAGGAAAAAATAAATCAGCATTCTCAAGCCAAATACCATTTTGAGGACTGGGGTGAAATGCAAACTGAGGCTGAGGGGTAAAGTTGGGGTGACCCTATGTCCCAGTTTGTGCTTGTGGTCCAAATATAATTATGAACGGCATCCCTTTCTTTCTCAGAAATGTCCCTGTTTAAAAGATCAATGATCTGGTCCATGCTTATAGCCTGGGCCAGGTCCCATAACCACTGTCACTATGGACAGCCCCAGGGAAAGGTCAGGAAACACACTCCTCTTTCTCTTCGTCTCAGGACAGCGAAGGACCTGCACACGCACGGTCCTTTCTTCCAAGGGGCCCGGAGGGTGGGATGAAGACGGGCTGTCCCCCCCCTCACCGCTGCTCATGTTGGAAAGTTCCTGGGCTGCGGTTCCCATGGTACTCTTTGTGGGGCCAGAGACACTGCAGGGACCCCTCTGGGACTAAATGGGACCTGAGGGGTCCTGGTTGCTATCCCAGACCATGGTGGCAGGAGGCCAGGTGTGGTGGATGAGGAGAACCGTTCAGAGCAAAGCCTTTTATTAGCCTCATAAGAGTCCTTTTCAGCCCTGGCTGGTTTCGCTCAGTGAGTTGCAGGTTCGATTCTGATCAAGGGTTCATACCTTGGTTACGGTTTGTCCCTGGCTCTGGTTGGGTCATGCAGGAGGCAACCAGTCAATGTGTCTCTCTCATGTCGATATTTCTCTCTCTCTCTCTCTCTCACCTGGGATATTTTTACATTTATATTTTTATGTTTATCTTCAGACAGAGTGGGAAGAAGAGAGAGAGAGTGAGAGAGAGAGAGAGAGAGAAACATCAATGTGAGAGAGACATATCGATTGGTTGCCACCCGCATGATGTCAACCGGGACCGGGAGGAACCACAACCAACACTGGTGCCCTTGGTCAGACTCGAACCCAGGACTCCCTGGTCCTCAGGCCGATGCTCTAATCGCTAAGCCAAACTGGACAGGGCTGTTTGTTTCTCTCTCCCCACCCCCCTTGCTTCCCTCCCTCCCACTCTATCTGATGATAAATAGAAAAAAATATATCCTCAGGTGAAGATAAAAAAAAAAAGAGTTCTTTTCACTCCCTCAGGCTGACCTCACCCACCCCACTCACCCCAAGCCCCAGCTCTCCTTTGGAGGGGAGCGTAGCGTTGATCCTGCCTACTGTGGTCTGTACCCAATAGCAGAGCCTGGCAGGTCTCGAACTGCCTGGGCGGAATGCGCAGCCCTTGGGTATGTGTAGGGTCAGGCCACACACTCCATTCGCTGAGTGACCTTGGCCAGTGATCTCCCCTCTCTGGGTTTCGGTTTCCCTGAAGAGGTAGGACAGGACCATCACAGGCTAGAATATTTCAACATTCCAGGGTGCCCAAGCCTGGCCCACAGACCAAGCCTTGAAGCCAGAGGCCTGGCTTCCTGCTATTGTCCCGGCTTCCCCAGCCCCGGGGAGGATCTCAGTTGCTCAGACAGGGAAGCTGTGTGCATGCTATGGCGACCTCTGTCCCTGCTGCCCACAGGGCTGTGGAAGTGACCGGGGCAGTTGGCTACAGTTTGAGATAACTGGAGAAGACTGCAGAATAGAGATAGTCCCTAGAGTGGGAAGGAGTTGCCTCCACAACCCTTAACTTGGAACCCTAATTACCTAACACCAAGCTGCCTAGATAATCGAGAAGGAGAAAGAAAATTAAAGAAGAAAATAAATAGACAGTGGGGAATCACAGGCTGCCCAAGCTGGTGGTCCTCTACCGTTCCATCCCACAGAGGGATAAACTGAGGCCTGGCAGGCCCTTCAAGGTGCCTGCTGTGGAGTCAAAAAAACTTCAACTCTAGGGTCAAGTTCGAATTTTGCTTTTCTCCTACTCACTGTGTGACCTGAGCAAGTAACCTGACCTTTCTGAGCCTCAGTGTTTCCATCTGTAAAATGGGGGCTTCTCATGCTTCCAAGATGGGGGGATGTAGAACAAGCACGCAAATAGTGGGTACTCCGTAGACGTGATTTCCATCATCCTCAACTTGACTCTTCTCAGATCACCACTGTCATGTACTCCAACCTGCCACTTTCCAGAAGGGACACTGAGGTCAGAGACTAGCTGGTGGCCCCTTTCTTGGAAAGGGCCCCATAGGTGCTGGTTGTGTGTGGGTGTGGGTGCCTTTGGGTAGTGGGTGTGTCCTTGCCCGGAGGGGAGGGGGGGGGAGGGATGGAGGGGATATCCGAGCCAGTCTGCAGGCTCTGTGATAAGCTTTATCTAACGGCGTCCCAGGTAAACAAGACCTCAGCCAGGTGGGTACAGTTAGTTCCTGCTTGCTGCTCTCTCTGCCCTCAGACCTCAGAAAAAGCTGGCCTTTCCTGCCCTTGGGCCAGAGTCCCCACCAGGTGGCCCCTTGCTGACCTCAAGGGAGTGGCTCCCACGGGAAACCAAAGCAACTGATTCAGCATTCACAGCACTTTCCCAGGATTCGGCACTAGGCATCTGGGGATGGGGTGGCTGGGGCCTCGATGTCCCTTTGCCCAGGGCTGGAGTCCCTGGAGCAACAACCCTTCACCATGACTGCTTTTCACGTGATAAAACTCAGGCTCAGAGAGGCTAAGCAACTTGCCCCAGGTCACACAGTAGGTAGGCAGCCCAGTCTGCACCAGAACCCAGGTCTTTCTGGGCAGCCTTCCGAGGGCTGGAGCCAGCTGGGTTCCCACCACCACTCAGACCTCATCGGGGCCTGATCCCAGAGGCCTGGTCAGATGGGTGGGCTTGGGGAAGCTGCTATTGCTGAGTTGGAAAGTTGTTTGATGTGGGAAAGAGCATGATTGATCTTGCAACCCTGGTGATAACAGGTTTTTAGGAACTCAGCTGTCCAGGACACAGACTTGTTTACAAAGCCGAGTGGCCTGGCGTGACATCTCTCAGCTCTGTACCTCCTGTCCCTTATCTGTGAAATAGGGCTAGTGACTTCTGGGAACGGAGTCACCTATTCCATGGTCTGCCGGGAGACCATGGAATCACAGACCAGGACAAGGGCAGGGGCAGGGGGTGTGGAGGACTCACCAGTCGCGACAGTGAAGGTGAGGCGGTCCACACTGGCCTCGTAGCTCCTGCTCTCGAAGTGCAGCGTTAGCCGGAAGGGCTGGCCCCGCCGCACCACCAGCCTCCCCCGGCACAGGTCAGCCGTGTGGTGGTCACGGCCATTGGCCTCCAGCTCCAGGTCCCATCTCTCCAGAGACAGTTCTAGGGAGACAGTGAGGGGCATGAGCCTGGGTGACATCCCTCGGCCTGCTGTGACCCCTCCCACACGCCTTCGCTGAGCACAGTGCCCGGTGCATGATCAATGATTAGTAAACTCGGGCTATTCCATCGCCACTGGGGGTTCTCTTGGTTAAAGCAAAGGCAGTAGTTGGTATAGGTTAGTTATACAGGCTTTGCCTTCTAGGCTTAATTTCCAATTTACAGGCAATATGGAGGACCAAGGAACATTTTATTTTATTTTATTTATTTTTTATCCTCACCCGAGGATATTTTTCCATATTTTGTACAGATAGAGTGGGAGGGAGAGAGAGGAAGGGAGAGAGAGAGAGAAACATCGACGTGAAGGGACACATCGAGTGGCTGCCACCCGCACGACCAACCAGGGCTGGGGACAAACTGCAACCGAAGTACGTGCCCTTAGCGGGAACCGAACCCGGGTCTCTCTGGACCACAGGCCGACGCTCTAACCGCTGAGCCAAACCGGCCAGGGCCCAAGGAACATTTTAAACAAAGAACCGGGACACAATCAACAAAACTCATAATCGGGGAAACAAAGGTAAGGTATTTGGTTTCTTTAACCACTAAATTGCAAGAGAAATAAAATGGGGAGGGGGATTTGAAGCGAGAACCTATAGATTATGAGGAATTTAAGAGACATTCCAACCCATTGTGCGGTGCAGGCCTTATTTAGATTTTTTTTAAAATAACTATTTTAAAACATTTATTACATGTATGAGACAACTGGATGTTTGAATACTGATGGAATAATGGTGATATTAGAAATTTTTTGTTAATTTGTTTATGTCTAAAAAGCGTCCTTATCCTTTAGAGATATATATTGAAATATTGATGGATGAAATGATGCTTCCAAATAATGGGGAGGTGGTCAGACGGGGGTGTGGGAGGCAGCAGTAACCTCAGGTAAATGGTGGTTGAGACTGATGAGAACATGTGCATTCATTATGCCGTTCTCTCTACTTTTGGGTATGTTCAATATGCTCCATGATAAAATGTTTTTAAAATGATAGGGATCGCCCTGGCCGGTTTGGCTCAGCGGTTAGAGCCTCGGCCTGTGGACCAGAGACACCCGGGTTCGATTCCCGCTAAGGGCACATACCTTGTTTGCAGTTTGTCCCCGGCCCTGGTTGGGGTCGTGTGGGTAGCAACCACTCGATGTGTCTCTCTCACATCTATGTTTCTCTCTCTCTCTACCTCCCGCTTTATCTGAAGACAAATGCAAAAATGTCCTCGGGTGAGGATAAAAAATAAAATAAAATAAATAAATAAAATGACAGGGATTTTGGAGTCTTCTGGGCCTACGTTTCAGTTCTGCTGTGCTGCTGTCTGGACCTGGACAGGTGTCCCTCCCTCTCTGTGCCTCCTTCGCGGAAGCCTCAAAGGGCTGCTCTGAGTTCTAGCGGAGGAGATGGGGACACCTTTCCCCAGGGAAAGTTCTATTTGTAGTTTCAGAGGGAGCTGAAGATCAGGGCAGGGGTGGGGGTGATGGAGAAGGTGGGGGTCTGAGGGAAGCACAAACCTCATAAATCTTGGCAAGCTCAAGGTCAAGGCTGGGAAGCCTGTAGGGTGGGGACATGGGGCAAGGCATGGGGACATGTGGGGCCCTCAGGGAGTATGTGGTCCAAATGAGGCCCAAGGGTGGAAATTTGCCCAAAGTCACCCCACAACTCAACCCTTCCACTGGGGCATCAGTTCAGGTCTCCCGCCTTCTGCCATGGAATATTCCCAAAGGGAGGTGCCAGTGCCCAGTGACTGCAGAGCCAGACATTGTGTGGCCCGAGGCCCCGCGGCAAACGGCAGCATTGGGATGCGAATCCTGGGCTGTAGATGTTGGAGCCTGAATGAGTAACCACCTCACTCACAGTTCGAGTTTGTTCTTCATCTTCCGTCCTCACCCCCCTCCCCCACCATGTCCTGTGTTGTTCCCAGCCAGGGAGGGGACATCAGGAAGCTGACCCCCTACAGTCACAGACGGAGAAGACTCCACAGGAAGAAAGGACTTCTGCTGTCTGCCTGAGCACGAAACAGCGCCGCTGTCCCCCGGGGAGACCTCAGAGATGGGCCGTCCCCGCTCTCAGGCCACTGTCTGAAGAAGGATTTCTAAAAGGCATGCCCAGCTCCAGAGGCGCAGACGCACTGGGGTCTGACATCACAGGATTTCTGCACTGAGGCAGGACCCGAGGTCTTCCAGTCTGGGGACGCCTGTGGGAAGTGGCCTCTCTGGCAATGGGGCAGGGGGCTCGTCATAACCGCATCTCCAAGTCCTCTCAGTGCCACTCAGTGGGACAGGGATAAGAAGCTGCACTGGAGACTAGTGGCCACCTTGGTGACGTGCCACACAGCCAGCCGTGAGTTGCTTTTTGATCCTACCCATTGGGAGCTGGGTCCCAGAGAGGGACAAAGGTGGCCTGAGATCACACAGTAGGTCAGGCAGGTTCATGGTTCCTCCCACTCATCCCTGCTCCCATGTCCCTCTCTCCACAGCTCCTTCCTGGGACCACAGAGATGCAGAGGGCATCTGCAAATGCATTGGACCCAAGTGCCTGCTGGGATGCTCAGTCCGGCAGCATTACCATAGGGACTTCACTGTAGAAATTCTCTCCCCCGGCATGGCAGTACTGCCTGTGTGTGTGTGTGTGGGGGGGGGGGGGTCAGGTGGGAAATTAACTGAACCCCCTTTCCACTCCTCTCAGCCCTCACAAATGCACCAAGGGCTGGCATTCTCGTCCACGTTCTACAGAAGGGAGCCCTGGCGGGGTATCCAGTTGGTTAGAGCATCGTCTTCATATGCCTAGGTTGCGGATTTGATCCCCGGACAGGGCACATACAAGAATCAAGCAATGAAGGCATAAATAAGTGGACAACTTCTTTTCTCCCTCTCTCTTTCTCTCTCTCTCAGTAAAAAACAAAAAGAATACGTTTTACAGAAGGGGAAACAGACTCAACAAGTGGCCAAGGACTAGGGTTGCAGAACTTGAGAGCCGGAAGGATCTAGGAGAACATGCCTGCTCTCGGCCCACTGCCCCACAGGATGCTGGGACCTGCGCTCCTTGGTACCCCGGGACCCAAGGGGTCAGCCAGGGCTGGCTTGCACCCACAGGGACAGCGGGCACGCCTCCTTACAGCTGGCAGGGGCTAACCAAGTCTGTTCTGAGGCTGGGCCAGCAACCCCTGCACAGCTTTATGCCACTTAACACACAGCGGGGACTCGGCCCAACTGCCTGAGGACGGGGACAATGGTCCACGACCACAGTACTTTACAGTTTCCAACACGCCTTCAGGTTCCTTTGCCTCATCTGATCCAGGGAGGCAGGGGTTAATGGTTATGCCCTGGGGGTGGGGAAACTGAGGCCCCAAGCCCAACCAGGACTGGGAGCCAGGCACCTCTCACCCAGCCGAGACCACATGTTGCTCGCCAAGCTTTGAGCCCCAGCCTGTCTGGACCCCGCCGTACTGGCCCACCACTGAGCCGAAGGAGGGACAGCCAGGCACAGGGGTTCCTGAGTGGCAGTAGCCCTGACCTTAATACTCACCCTCAACCATGGTCAGGTGGTGGCAGTGTCTCCTCTGTCTCCTCGGACTGGTGGCAGAACCCTCCAAGTGCAGACCACTGGCAGCCGGCACTGTGGTGGAGGAGGCCGAGAGCACAGAACTTATAGCCCGCTTAGGGGCGGGCCGGGGCGGGGCTGGAAGAGGAGGCGGGACCTGGTGAGGCTGCTCTTACCCAGCCTGGGCCCAGCTTGTGCTGGCCGGCTAGGGCAGGAGCCCCAAGGAGGGAAGGAGGGAGTGGTGGCCAGGCAAGGGCTCCCCCTGGGGGGAGCCGACTGAGTGCAGGGCTGGGACAGGAAGGACAGGGACACACAATTAGATCAGGACACACAGACACACCTAGAGCCACAGTGTCAATCAGGCCTTGGGTAGCAGAAAATATGCACATGCGGACAGACACACGTGGAGCAGACCCAGACCCAGACACACTTCCACACAGACAGACCTGGACGTACAGTGACATGGACACAAAGTCACATGAAAACCACAGAGATGCCAGGACATAGACACAGGCAGACACAGAGGTACCCCCAAGAGCCACACACAGATGCGCAGGCGTCCAGATGTCCCCAGCTCACACACACACACACACACACACACACACACAGACCTGACAGACACCAATGTGCCCTCAGACATGGGCACAAACCAGACTGGGCGCCCACAGACACGCGAAGATGCACACAGATGAGTACAGATGGGACACACCCACAAAGACAGGCACACCCACACCTCTTCTTGGAGCGAAATCGAGATATCTGCCCATCTCATCCATCCCTCAGACTATCTGTCCATCCACCTGCCCACCTACCCACCCATAACCCCTTCCTTTACTCACCCCTGTCTGCTCCCTATCCTGTCTCCCTCCTGCTCACGACCTTCCTTGCAGGCCCACTGTGTGCCAGAAGGAAACAAAGCCAACTTTCCAGGGCCTCAGTCCCTGACCCTCCCACCTCGCACCCTGGGGACAAGGGTGACATCACCCCTTCTGGGCCCTCTGGGCCCCCAGACATGGGCTACTGACCCACCATGAGGCCTGAGCAAGGAGGGTCTCCGGAGAGACAAGGGCCTATGGGCCTCCCCAGCCCTTTTTCTGGAATAAGTTCTATATCTGTTGATGGATTTGGGCTACAGAACTGGCCCGTTTCCATTCCTGGGTGACACAGCGCAGGGAACAAAACTGTGTTGCTTTAGTGAACGTTTTGTCCCTGGGTCAGATGGGCCCTGCCTGGGGTCTTAGTGAACATACTCATGACACAGTGTTGGGTCCTGCTGACCTGGAAAACAGACCCCTGGTTCAACCTTGTAACTGCCGCGTTTGACAGATACTGTTGCAGAAATTGTCCCCTGCAGCTGGTGAGAACTCAGGGGAAGGAAAAGGTGTCCCACTCTGTCCCTGACCAGCTGTGTGGCCAGGGGCTGGTATTCCGGCTCTCCGGGCGTCAGTTTCCCCCTCTGCAAAATAGGGGCAAGAATTCGTCGCACACAGGCCTGGAGTAAGGCTCAATCAAAATGACTGATGCCCTGTCTGGTTTGACTCAGTAGTTAAAGCCTTGGCCCATGAACTGAAGTGTCTTGAGTTCAATTCCTGGGTTGCAAGTTCAATCCCCAGCCCTGGTTGGGGCCGTGCAGGAGGAAACCAATCAATGTGTCTCTCTCACATCAATGTTTCTCTCTCTCTCTCTCTCTTTCTCTCCCTCCCTCCCTTCCATTCTATCTAAAAATCAATGGAAAAATATCCTCAGGTGAGGACTAACAACAACAACAAAATGACTGAGGTCAGGCGCCTATTATACAGTGATTACATGATAACTGGGGTCTCCGAGTTTTGGAGCAAAGTTTCCAAGTGTCCCAGAATGTGGCCCTGAGGGACAACAAAGGCTCCTATGATCAGGGGGCCCTTGCCCTACTCTGGGCCTCAGTTTTCCCATCTTTTCAAGGGGACTGGGAAGCCATGCCTTGTCCTACCTCACTGTGCAAGTAAAGATTCAAAACTGTTTTACTGAGGGGAAAACTGAGGCCCAGAGAGGGTGGTCATGAGTTCCCCTAAGGTACAGACAGGGGACCTTCATCATTCTGTACCAGGGAAGTGCTGTGCAATGGTTAGAGCAGGCAGTATCTGAGGTCACTCTTGGATGTGTGACCCTGGGCAAGTTACTAGACCTCTCTAAGTCTCAGTTTCCTCTTCTATGAAATGGGTATAATAAGAGTCCCTACCTCCGGGGGTTAGAAACAATGTCTGTTCAGGGCTGAGCACACGGTAGGTGCTCAATAAATGGTAACTAAAACATTTTTATGAGGATGTAAGAGTCAGAATTCCCTTTCCTCACAAAAGTGAGGTTCCTACGTGTAGGTGAAGCAGGTGGCTAACAATGTAAAATATTTGGGGGGTGCTCAGAAGAACTCCCTGCCTCCCAAATAAGTCTTGTATCCAGGGTCACTGGTGCCTGGACCCCACCATTAGAGAGCTCAGTCATCTACTTTCTTTTAAAAAAATATGTTTGTTTGTTTTTTATTTTAGAGGGAGAGAAAGAGAAAGAAACATCGACGAGAGAGAAACATTGGTCAGCTGCATGCCCCCTACTGGGGGTCAAGCCCGCCACGTGGGCACGTGCCCTGACTGGGAATCGAACTGGTGACCTCTCAGGGTACATGGGCTCTGTGTATGTGACAATGCTCAACCAACTAAGTCTCGCCGGCCACAGCACTCCTTCGCTTTTGGAAAGATTTTCAGGCCTTGAAGTAGAGACAAAAGTGAATTTTTAGAACATTTGAATAACCCATTACCAGCCAAATGTCCCATTTAAATCTCACAGTATGATTTTTGTCAGTTGTTAAATGAGGAAACAGAGGCTCAGAGAGGTGAAATGACTTGCCCAGGGTCACACAGTCAAGAAGTGGGGCATAGAGTCTAGCCTTGGTTCAAAAGCCTGCACTCACTCTTCCATGTTTCAGGGGCCAGTCCTATACCCTGCCACCCCCCACCCTGCTTCTGATCCATGGTGTCTGGTGGACACAGTGGACAGTTAATATGTTTGTGGCATGAGAGAGAGAGGGATGATTCAGAGAGAGTTGAAGGAGAACAGAAGGAAGAAAAGGAAAAAGATTAAGGTTCAGAGAGGTTAGGGAAACTGCCTGAGGTCACACAGCACAACTGGGCTCCCAGGCCCTGGCTCAGCTGAGCCATTCCCCAAGGACAAAGGGCCCAAAGGCAAGAGAGGGCCCTGGATGGATGAACTAAGAGGAGAGGAAGGACGGAACAGTAGTGGGTGGGACGGTGATGGGACATTTGAAGTCCTCCGCTTTTCTACCAGCTGGTGACTAATGGCAAATGAGCAGCGTCTGGCATGAGCAAGTCCAGGAAGGGAAGGACCAGACTCCCATGAGGTGGGATGGGCTGAGGTAGGGGTGAGAACAGGAGACTTGGAGAAAAGGTCAAGAGGTAGGTGTGACCCCTTTGAGAGGGAGTGTGGCTGATGGCCTGTCGGAGGCAGGATCTATGCGCCCCAGGTTGTGGGGAGCAGAGAACATTGCACTTGATTGGGGTGGCCCTCCCAGTGTGTTCATTTTACAGATGGAAAAACTGACCTCCTTCTGGTGTCCTCAGCTCCACCATCACAGTGCATCCTTCTCCCACTGCCCCTATCCGTCCCCTGTGTACGATCTCAGCCCCAACTACGCCATTTAAGCTCTGTGGGCCATGAGCGGTTAGTTCACCCCACTGAGACTTCAGTTTCCATTTCTGTGAAAGCAGAATCACACCCCAGACCTCACAGGCTGGTGTAAGGAGGACTGGGAGCCTCAGATATGCAGTCTGAGCTCGTCCCTCCCCCACTGAAACCCCCTGGGGGGATACTTGAGCTCCGGGGCCTGGAATCCAGGCCCTGCAGGTCTGGCCCAGCTCACCCTCCCATCCGTCCAGCGATCCGTCTCCCACATTTGTACCATCCAGCCTCATCAGACACTCTACTAGCCCCCAAGGCAGGCTGCAGTTTCACCCACCTCCAGTTGTTTTCTCAAGCTGTGCCATCACCTGTGCCCACCCCTCTTCATCTATCAACATTCCACTTGGGCTTTAAGCCCCAGCCAAAAGGCACCTGCTCCCAGAGCCCACCCACAGCAAGACTTTCCTCTTGCCCCGGACCCCAGGACACAGCCCTGGCCTGCCTCGTCTAACCAAGGACCGGTGTGTGTCTCTGTCTTCCTCCACCCGCCTGGCTTCAGTGGCTGTTCAATAAATGTCTGTTGAGTAAACAAGTCACCTGTGCCAGAGAGAGAGAAAGAGAGAGAGACTTGTCCAACCCTGGGCCAAGCTCTGGGGGTTAGCCCAGCTCAGAGCCTTGGTTGGCAAGATCTGTGGTGCCAGGGCCCATGGCAGGACCAGGAGCTGGGTGCAGTGCTGGGGCCTCTAACAAGCCTTGTTGCCGCCATCAGAGATGAGGGGTCTGAGCCCAACTTACTCTCCAGTCACATCTACAATCCCAGGACTAGGGAGACCCACTGGGAGCCCAGAGACCTCGAGCAAACACTTTCCCTGGTTGCACATCAAATTAGGGCAGAATCAGGGTGCTCCAAACACCACAGAAAGTAATTGCTGACCCTGTACCTCTACCCTCAGGTTTGAACACTGAGAAAGCTGCTTTTATTGCATTAGCAAGCGTGATGAGGAGTGGGACGGAACGTGAGGTTCGCATGGTGTCACCGGGGCGAGATGGGGCGGCAAGGGCCGACAGGTCTGAGAGCTCCTGGCTCCACCCCTGGACCACCTCTCATTGGCTGTGTGGCCTCAAATCTCAGTCTCAAAAACAAAACACAAAGGACTCAAAACTCCTAGCCCATCTGGCTCAGGGAAAGATCCTGAAAGGAAGTGGAAGACCCTCCAAGGAGAACAAGTCGATGCTAGGATTGCTGTCGCCGTTAAGTGCTTCCATTTCTTAACCATCCAGACACCCCAGGGAACGGGTGGTGTGAGGATTTGGGGACAGGGGAGTCCTGCCTATTTCAGGCAGCAAAATTTGCTTTACTCATAAGAAAACCCAGTCACAACCAATTATCACTTACTTGGCATACAATTTTAATC